TCCCCCTCCCCCCTCCCCGGGGGCGCGGGTGGCCGCCGGGCGGGGAGGCCCTGAGGAGGGCGGCGGCCGGGGCTGGTCGGCTGGGCTGTCCCAGCGCGCTTTCTCTTCTCCGGGGAGCAGAGCCCGGGCACAGCCCGCGCCGGGACCCCGATCTCGGAGTCCACGCCCGGGTCAGCTGAGGCCGAATGAGTCCCCGCGCTCCCCGAGTGGCCGGAGCGAGGCAGGTGCCAGTGGCACCGCCCGGGACCTCGCCTCCTGGGACCCAGCCTCAGTGCCATTCACGAAACTGAGACGTGCTCCCCAGCTCTAACTTGGAGAACTTCCCGGACTCCTTCCCCGGCCCCGGTTGTGTGTGTGCGCCTCTCACTTCAGGTTACCTGAGTTTGCAGGGCGTCCTAGGTGAGACCCAGGGAGTGGCATCAGAAAGAGTTGTGACTAACTCCCTGGCGTTTCTAATGCTTGCTCTTGTTGCTAGTACGGAAGAGACTTTAGTGTGACACTAGTGGGGGTTGGGGGCTGTTCTTCCATCTGTTTTAGTACTTGAGGCCCAGTGGATATCATTACTCGTGATATTCCACCTGGATGTGTGTGGCTACAAAAATCTGAGACCTGGAGAATATTTACAGACCTGTGTTGGTGCCTGAGCTTTCCACTTGGGCCTGTCAGGAACGGGTGAAGGGCTGCACACTTTTTAGTAAGGGGGCAGTAGAGGCAGGGTTGACCTCCATTAGCCATCCCTGTTACACACAAAGTGAGCTCGTGATAAAATGCCAGATACTTGGCCTTTTGCCCTTTCCACTCTGTTGCAAAGGTTTCTCCAAAATAAATCTCTGCGTGATATAATGTAGACATGATGATTTTAAAGAGTAGCCTTCTTACGATTTACTGGTGTTTTATTTATCTTAGTTTCCCCCTCGCAGCAAAACTTGAGTATGTTTATGGACGGGTTTTATCAAACTAATTTTAATTCTTTTCATTTGTTACTCACCATCTAAACCTGGTGAGTAATGATCGTTTTTCTCTTCTAGAAAGTGACAGTGAGAGGCAAATTAGTTTGTTAGATTTGTATGGATGGTGATTATTGTGACTCTAATAATTGCCTTCACCATTTCTTTTCTCATGGGAGCCATCTTTTCCTTGTCAACTCCCATTCCTCCCCTCCCCACGTATATCCCTCCTCCCTCACCAATATGTCACTTTCTACTTATCACTACTTGTCACTTGTCACTACTAGTCATCACTTTCTAATTTGTCTTTATTTCTTCCACAAGACTGCAAATCCATTGAGGGCAGGATCCAGTCAGTTTCATTTCTGATTCCTCAGAATGTGGCATTCCAATAAGTTTTCGATGAACAAAACTTAAACTTTAGTTATAAACTTTAATAATCTTAAAGCAGATTTTGGCATAATGAATACAACTGAACAGAAAAGTTGTATTGAGATGAAAGACATTGCTACTGCTAACACTGCATACAGGCAGAGAAAATAGCAGAAAAGTTTCAGCTTTTCTGGTGATTTGGTTTCAGTAATTTGGTGTCTTCTGTTAGAAGTTAAAGGATGATGAATACCAGTGGGTGCACCATTCACTTTTTATCTCTAAAAATTTTTGGTCTAGGATCAAGTTCTTTAATTATGTTAATTCAGGGTGGAATTTTGAACTTTAAATACAAGGTTGAGTAGTCATTAAATTGTCTTCTTTTTTTTAACAGGTAGTGTTTCATAAAATGTCACCCAACGAGACCCTCTTTTTGGAAAGTACCAACAAGATTTATAAAGATGACATTTCCAATAGCTCCTTTGTGAATTTTCAAATATGGGACTTTCCTGGACAAATGGACTTTTTTGACCCAACTTTTGACTACGAGATGATCTTCAGGGGAACTGGAGCATTGATATATGTCATTGATGCACAGGTAGTTAGAAATGATGATGTTTACTTTTCTTCTTGGTGGCAGAAGATGTAGGAACAAAGGAAAGTTGTTTATGTTCTTTGCCATATGCTTCTTGCAGCTTTTTTCTTTGCCAGTGGATTCTGTAGCAGTGTGAGCAATGGACCTGAACAGATGCATTGGGAGCAGGCATGCCGTTGTATAAGTGCAGAGTATCAGATGCTCAGGAGAGATGGTTTATACCCCTGAATTCTAGTTAATGAGCAGCAGTCCACTTTTGTTGATAGTAGGTATTGCTGCACTGTATTAACTATTAGAATCGTGGTGTTACTCACTGAAAAGTTCTCGCCGGGGTCCATAGTATAAGGAAGAATGTGAGAACTGCATTAGTAAATAATAAAGTAAGTAGTTTCTTTAGTTGTCCAAATTGAGTTCAGCCCAACGAGCACTTATCGAGGGACTGTCATGTGGCAGGCCCTCACACCAATGGGACATGTCTCTATTCTCAAGAATCCTACTTTTTCTAGGCTTCAGCATTAGTTAGGAATGCGTTCTGAGTGACAGGCTCTGTGATGGGTACTTTCACCTATGTGATCTAGTTTAATTTCTTCTTCATGATACTGTGAGGTAGGTACTGTAATTCCACCTTCACAGATGAGTAAACTGAGATCACAGACTTTCAGCGACCTGCTTAAAGTCACACATCTAATAAATGGCAGAGCTGGGATTACTTTAAAAATTTTGTTGGAAAGAAGTGTCCATTTCCCATTTTTTTATATTATTAGTACTATAAATAACCAGCATTTACTTGGTAGTTGCATTTTTTATTTTGAGAGACTGAAGATCTGTTTAGTAATATAAGTTAATGCATTTGGATGTTTGAATATTTATGAATAATTAGAATAATATATTTTCTATGTTTGGGGAAAGTGGTGGTTTGAGGCTTGCTTAATGTAAGATTTCTTTTTAAAAAATATTTTGTTCTGACTTACAGGATGACTACATGGAGGCTTTAACAAGACTTCACATTACTGTTTCTAAAGCCTACAAAGTTAACCCAGACATGAATTTTGAGGTTTTTATTCACAAAGTTGATGGTCTGTCTGATGATCACAAAATAGAAACACAGAGGGACATTCATCAAAGGGCCAATGATGACCTTGCAGATGCTGGGCTAGAAAAACTCCACCTTAGGTAACAACCTGTGTGTTTGATATGAGAGCCCTGAACAGTGTGTAAATGTATTCCCATCTCTGTCATTACCGACACGTAGCTCTCTGTTACTGGTACGCCCTTCCCAAATCTGTAATGTCTCTGATCTCTTCTTTGTTGAATTTAAGCAGTTTTGGGAGCCTGATGTGACTGAGAAGTTACTTTCCTCCTTTTTTGCATTTTCCCAGAGGTTGAAGTCATGTAAAGTGTTTCTGTTGGTGCGTTTACAAATTCATCTCACGAGACTGGAGTCAGGCTGTTTCCTCATGGCGTAAATCTCCCCTCTCTTAGTTTCATCATTCGTTTTCTTTTTTTTTCTCCCTCCTTGCCCCAGTTCAGGGAATCTCTGTCACTTTTGTTGTAGAGCTCTGTAGCGTGAGTCTTCCCACTGTCTCTCTCAGTAGGAAGAACCTTTTAAAGAGGGTACACTTTGAAGTCTGGACTCTAATGTATCTGGTCTGTTTTTAAAACTCTATGCTTTTATGAATCTCAAAAAATTGGGTTAGGTCAATGTAGTCTGTAATCTGCTTGGGGCTACTGTTTAAGTTTCAAGAACTGCTGATTCATAATTCAGCATCATTACTATGAAAGAACATGTACTAGATAGGATGGATGATTTGTGTACTTGTGTTCTAAGTGTGAGGAGTATTTCCTACATTATATATATATATATATATATTTGTGTGTGGTGTAGGTAGAAATGAGTAATAAAAATTACCGAAGAAAATGTTCTTTTGATGATACAAACAGCTTAAAGGGGAAGCGGGAGAGACAAAGCATAGCTATTTCCTTATCCCTGGTCTGTTACAATGACTTCCCTATAGGCTTGAGCCAGCCCCCAGCCCTACCCCTAATATTCGCTAGGGCCTCCAGCTCCAAAATCTTTCTGTTTTTCTCCTACAAAAGTAGGAGAGAAAAGTCTCATTGACCTCTAGTTTGCCTGGATTAAAATATGTACAAGTAATTCATGCTTTAAAAAAAATTCAACAGTATTTGTAAGAGAAAGTAAAAGTATCTTCCCATAAAATTGTTCAATCTTATTTTTCCACCATGAAAAATGGATTTTAAGCCATGATTGTCCTGTGTTCCCCAGTGCCTGTGGGAATCCTTCTGATCCTCGCACCATGTCTGTGTCCCTTTCCAGGGCATCCTACCTCAGTAGTACACACTATCCTTTTTCCCAGTTCTCTGTGGGGCCCTAGACCTTGTTAATTTTGTTTCAAGCTTTTATTAATTACTAGCAGGCCTATGGATGAAGCTCTATTTGATTTCCAGTTTCTAGAAACTCAGCTTACTAAAAATGCCTGTGCCTTGGAGGGTCTTTCCTGTCCCCATCCACCTCCAAGACTCATAGTTCCAACAGGACCTCACATTGCTAACGTAGAATATTCTTTTGTCCCTAGTGCCTGTGGAGGGATTGTCTTGGTCTCACCTGTCCCCCTGCTCTTACATCTAGATTAGAGCCCCATCTTGCATAGGGTTAGGTTTTTAGATGAGCTCTTGGAAAGTATGTTTCAGTTACCTATAAAGTGTGATATAAACAGTTCTGTGTCTCCAACTTTGTAATATGTACTTAGAAATATATCACGGACACAACTATGTAAGGAATAATTTCCTCTCAGTGAAAAAGCAGGCATAATTGACCACACTGTTTAAATTGTTAAAGGCCTTTCCCTTTCAAATATGTGTTTCATTAAATCTGCCCATTTTACTTTACTGTACATCCTTTTAGGCCTTCAGCCAGCTTTTCCATTCTCCATAGGGCCCCAGATTCCATCCTCCTTAATGTGTTACTTACATAAATTCTAAGCACTAATTTTACTCATTTGTTTATGCAACAAACGTTTACGAGCACTGTTCAGGGCAGTGGGCCTGCAGCTGCGAGCAAGGCTGACAAAGTCTCGTCCTCATGGAGCTTACATTCTGATGAATCAGACAGCTCACAAGCACTTACAAACGAATGTATAGTGTAATTTTATGTACTTACCAGTACCGTGAGGAAAAACAAGTTAGAGGAAAGGAGTTGAAAGCAATGGGGCCAGGGGTACTATTTTAGGTAGGGGGGTCAGGAAAGAACTTTTTGAGGAGGTACATTTTAGTAGAGACCTGAGTTATATTCTTGTTTAATAAATGTCACCTATTTTCTCTGAGCTTTCTCTTGTTTTTTTGACATTTATGGGTTTAAGAAACCAAGCTTTTTGGATCAGATAGCAAAGACTTAGATGAATATTCAAGTTTCTGCATCTGAAAATGCTTTCCTGGATACTACCGCAGTTGCCCTCTGTGTAAATGCAGTACCGGGATGGAGAGTTACAAGTCAGGTGGGGAAGCTGAATTTGTCATCCTGAATGATGAAGATGGTGCACAAGATAAAGAGGCTTTATTTGAACTTACTGAAATCAAATGTTATGAAGTGTAAAGTTTTATGTATTAATTGTTACTGAACTTAAGATATTTTTCGAATTAATCAAATTATGTTTTGTTTTGCAGCTTTTATTTGACTAGTATTTATGACCATTCAATATTTGAAGCCTTTAGTAAGGTGGTGCAGAAACTTATTCCACAGCTGCCGACCTTGGAAAACCTATTAAATATCTTTATATCAGTAAGTTAGATGTTTAATTCACTATAGTTTCTGATTCCATTTTAGTTGAATATGTTTGTGTTACCAGATTCTCCCAAAAGTGTCTTGAATTTTTTTTAACATTTTTTATTGAGTTATAGTCATTTTACAATGTTGTGTCAAATTCCAGTGTAGAGCACAATTTTTTCAGTTATACCTGAACATACATATATTCATTGTCACATTTTTTTTTTTGCTGTGAGCTACCGGAAGATCTTGTATATGTTTTCCTGTGCTATACAGTATAATCTTGTTTATCTATTCTACATTTTGAAATCCCAGTCTGTCCCTTCCCATCCCCCTAAAAGTGTCTTGAATTAGTCTCAAGCTTAAAGACTAATTATGCACTTAAGTGTAAAATAAATAATAACATTTTAAAATTGACTTATTTTCTGAATTTTTTCCTTAGTACTTACCCTGTTTGTCTTAAAATGACCTGATGCAACATTTTCTCATGCTTAATTAAGTAAGAATACCTTCATGATATCTTGTTTCCTGAAGGAAGAGTAGAACCTGGAATAGACTGGGTTTTGGGAATTTGACTCAGTTTAATCTCTCTCTTATTGGAGGTCACATTGAAAAATTGATTTTTTCCTTGCTAAATGTAATCTCAGTGTCATATTTCACATTTTTTATTTTGAGGATTCAGCTTAATAAAAAGATGTTCCTCCAATAAATTTAGCACTGAGCCACTACATTTCCCAGACGTTGCTTTGAAAGACTTAATGTGTCGTGATCCCCAGTTCTTTGGGTTTTGTGTTATCTTAGATGTGGATGTCAGACATTCGTTTATGGTTTGCTCATTGCCACATAAAGCCTTTCTGGTAGCAAGGTCATTTGAATCAGATTGATTATTGTCACAAAAAAGGACTATTGAAAATGTAGCATGGCTTGGCTTTTGGAGGATTTTTTTGCTTGTTTTTTGTGGTGGTGTCTTAGAAAATAATTCATTTGAGTAAAGAGGAGGAAGCGAAAGCAAATTTGACTAGTACACTTATGTTGGAAAATCAGAGCAGAGAAATAATTCCACTTTTATTCTTTGCATAGAAGAAGTGTCTCCAAACCAAGCACTACTGCTCTTTTGGTATTGTGTTGTATAATTAAAAATGCCCTTGGATGTCCGTCAGTGATTGAAGATCTTTGATAAGTTTATAAATGCTGATTCTTAAAAAAAAAACAAACTGAACACTTCCTCAATTTTGTTTTTCCAAGAATTCAGGTATTGAAAAAGCTTTTCTCTTTGATGTTGTCAGCAAAATCTACATTGCAACAGACAGTTCTCCTGTGGACATGCAATCGTATGAACTTTGCTGTGACATGATTGATGTTGTGATCGATGTCTCTTGTATATATGGGTAAGTTGTGTGTATATTTCTGCAAGATCTCAGGTGGAAAACTACCAGTTTGATTTGTCAGGGGGTTAATTTCTGAAGCCTCTAACAAGTACTGTATGAAGTAGAACTGTTCCGACCATAGTGCTTCAACTTGGAGCTTGGTATCTCTGTAGGTGGGCTGCTGGGCCTTACTCCTTTGGAGAGGATGGATAAGAGCCGTTGAACAAGTATGACTAGTGCCAGACTTACCACTGGAAGTTTCACTCCCTATTACTTGGGGGCTTGCACTGTGTCTTCTCTCTACTGTGACCTAGCTAGGTCACAGATTAATTTATTTAAGACATTCTGAATAACAAAGTGTGTACTGGTTCCTCATTTAACCTCAGGCTTTGTGGAACTGAGGGATTCTTAATCTTTCAGAGAGCAAAGAAACAAGGAAATCAGAATTGTGGATGTCAGAAGAACTTACAAAAATTTGACCTGTGCATCTAAGTTTCCAAAATAAGTCTCTAAAATGTAAGCTCTTCTTTTGTGCAAGTTCATCAGTCTCTAAACTGAAATGTGTAAAAGCCAGCAAAGAAGTGTTTTTGTAGAATAGTCCAGAGGACAAGTGAAAATTTTGGAGAATTTCCTGGTGTTTCAAAAGCAGCCTCTAATAGCCCTGATTCATCTTGTGTATTAACGTCAGCACTCCCAGGGCTCTTTCTTGATGCTCTGATATTACCTTTGCTTTCTGATAGCTGTGTTCCTCTCTGCTCCCCCTCATCTAAATTCCTCTTGCCTAAATTCCTCTTTCATCGCTGTGTCCCTGCCCTTCACCTTGGTCTCTCTGCCTAATTTGTCAGTGTCTTTCTCCTGCCGCCCTTGGGTAGGAGAAAGCATTTGTCTTGCCTGTTCTTTACCTGTCTCCTCCTCTCTTTCATTGCTGTCTGCTTTCCATTTTTGTGATAATATGCTCTTCTTTGTTTTAATTCTTTCCATAGTGAAAATGAGATGATGTTATACAATAGGTTATACAATAAAGTTTCATGTTCCCATTCCTAATTTTAAAAATGGATGAATAGGACATTTGTTCTTTTTTTGAAACAAATCAAAATTTCATAAACCAATTTTTTATAATAAAAAATCAAAATTTAGTTGTAAAGTTTATTTTCAGTATAAGGTACATTGTAAACTACATTATACATTATAAAGTACATTATAAAAAGGAAGAAAAATGCCCATTATTTCATTATGCTTAACACAATCTGTTTCTGCAGTTCGGTGTGCTTTATTGTTTATTTCTTACTTGACTCTTGATTTACATTTTTTGAAGGGGGCTAATTGCTAATTGTAATTCTGATAATTTTAGTTTAATAAATGAAATAGCTTTCAGACCCCATAAGGCTCACTTGGCCAGCATCAGGATCCTACAGTATCTCTGAGAGACCGTATTTATTTTAGTTTTCCTTTTTCACTAATGACAGTTTTCACATTTAGGTCCCTCTTTATGTGTAGACGGTGTCAGCACAGGTTAGTGGGAGGGAAGATCGGATGCCTGCTGTGTTCCACGTGTCCTAGGTGAACAGCATGGTGTGAGCGCATGGGGTGCCGCAGCAGAGTCTGGGCACCCGTGCCTAAACACAGCTTCTGTTCCAGCGTGATGGGGCCAGCATTCTTCTTTCTCAAAAGACTTTCAGGAAACTGGGTGGAAAGACTTGTCGTTGTGCAAATATGACAAAATGCCTAGTTGAGAAACCAGTAATGAACAGTATTTTGTTTTAAAACAGGTTAAAGGAAGATGGAAGTGGAAGTGCTTATGACAAAGAATCCATGGCCATCATCAAGCTGAATAACACAACTGTCCTCTATTTAAAGGAGGTGACTAAATTTTTGGCACTGGTCTGCATTCTTAGGGAAGAAAGTTTTGAACGAAAAGGTAATAGTTTTAAAAAGCTGTGTTTATATTAAATTCATTGTCATAATTTCTTAGGTTCTGGAAAACAAGAGAAAATACTGCAGTGTTGTATGATTTATCAGCTCCAACTACTTTTGTACCTTCCCATCCACGTACGGTCCAGACTTTCTCCTTCCTTCTTTTGGTCTTCTGTTTTAAGCCAAGTTTTTTATTCCAGCCTCCCATTACCTGTCTGACTGCCTGCGATCGGATTGCGCTTGAACCATTCTGCTGAGGCTATTCTTTGAGAGGTTACCGGGTCACCTTCTTGCTGCATTTGGTGGCCTTTTCTCATCCTGTAGCCTTTTCAGCCTTCTGAAGCATGTGACCCTGTGTGTACCTCCTTCCTGAAGCTTTTTGCTTTCTTTGCTTCCCTGCAGTGGAACTCACCAGGTTCTTTTAGGTATTTGTTTCTCTCTCCACCTGTCCTGTTTCTTCTGACAGTTTTTCTTTTTCTCTGTTCTGAGTGTTTTTCGGAGGTCTTCTGCTCGCTTACTTCTTTACGTAGTCTCCTGGTCAGCTGATCCCATCCATGACTTCAGTTAATCTTCTCTATGTAGTCGATTCAAAAATTCACATCTCCAAAACAACAAGTTTATACTGTATAGCACAAGGGAACTACATTCAGTATTTTGTAATAACTTATGGTGAAAAAGAATATGAAAACGAATACATGTATGTTCTTATATGACTGAAGTATTGTGCTGTACACCAGAAACTGACACAACATTGTAAGCTGACTGTACTTCAATAAAAATACATTAAAAAAAAATCACATCTCCGGCTCCAACTTGGGCCTCTGTTCCCATCCTGCGTTTGGAGCTGTTAGCAAGACTTCTTCACTTAAATATTTGATCATTATCTTGTCTATGGTGTCAGGAAGCGATGAGTATTTCCCCCTTTGTTTCACGACTCTCCTGGTGACCCTATTTCTGTTGCTAGTCACGCCAGTTCTCTGGTGTCTGAGCTTAGATGCGTACTCACCTGGTGATCACAGGTGACCATGTGCTGTAATTGCTCAGGAGGTCCTTGCAGGTCATTTTGCACGGGCTGTTCTGTGTTCTCCTCTTCCCATTCTTTCCTTGTGTTTACATGGGATTTTCACCCAGTCTTACCATTTGTTTCTTGGAACTGTTTGTCGGCTTTTCTTTTCATTTGCACTGTCAGTGACTCCAGTCCAGGCTCTCATCCCTCCAGGCCTCTGGTGCTGCATTCATTCAGCATATTTATTGAGGGCTTGGTATGTGTTCTCTTTTATTCTGAAGGCAAACTAGTTTTCAGAAAATTACTTTAAAAATTTAAAAAAATTGGGGGAGGGAGTGGTAATTAGGTTTATTTGTTTATTTTAATGGAGGTACCTGGGGATTGATTGAACCCAGGACCTCGTGCATGCTAAGCACACGCTCTACCACTGAGCTATACTTACCCCGCCAGAAAATTACTTCCATCATGTTATTTAACTACTCAGAGATCTGCAGTAGCTCTCTGTTATTCACTGCAACAAGTCCCTGCTCTTCTGCCTGAGTTTCTAATGATTAACATTGAATGAGTTAATATTATTTCACTAATATTGATATTAATGAAATATTTCAGATATACAAAATTTTTTTCCTAAAACAGAAATGTGTCTATTCACCTTTGAGCTTAAGAACTGAAACATGACAAATAACATATTTGTCGTCTGTGTATTTCTCAGTTGAAACCTCCTCTTGCACCCTGTTGAATGTAGTGTTTTATTTTTCCCATGTGTGATTTATTGTTTTACTTTATATCTATCCTTAAATGATGTAGGGTACTGTGTGTCTTGGTGGAATTGATGTCAAAATGTAAGTCGTCTTCTGCAGCTTTCTTGGTCCTCTTCATTTGAGATTGTTTTTAAGATTTATTTGTATCGAGAGCATGTATTCATGCTTTATTCATATTCACTGACACACAGTAGTCTGTGGATTGCATGTGCCACAATTTATCTTCTTGCTGGACATGTAGATGATTTTTAAAATTATGAATAGTTTTGCAAGAAATACTCATGAACAAGTTTGGCTTTGCACATGTGGAGAATTTCTCTAGAGTGAGTATTTAGGAGTAGAATTTGCAGAGGACATCCATCTTCAACTTTATTAGGCATTATTGAATTGCTTTCCAAAGTGGCTTTATCATTTTCACCCCTGGCAGCGCTGTGTGGGAATTCTTGTCACTTCCTGTCCTTGATAACGTCTGATCTTGTTAGACTGTTTAGTCAGTCTGGTAGGTGTGAAATGTTACCTCACCCGGTTCTGATTTTTCCTTCTTTAATTACTGATTAGAGCAAGTGTCTTTTTCATTACAAGTACCTTTTTATGCCTGTTCAGATGTCTCCTCTGGTAATTTACCTATTCATATCCTTTTATCTTTTCTATACTGTATCTTTTTCATACTTCTTAGCTGGTCTTTATTTTTCTCCCTTCTGATCTTAAAATTTTTTAAAAACTTTTGGTTATGGAAAACTTTAAATAAACACAAAAATAGACCATCTCCCTGCTTCCACAGTCATTAACATGGTCAGGCTTGTTTCCTGTATATCCTCCCCATAACTAAATTACTATCTTTTACTCTTTTGTTGTGGAAAAGTAGAGAACATAATATAAAGAACCCCTTTTTATCTGTCACCCAGATTCAACAACTATCAAAATCATAGCCATTCTAACTTTATCTCTATACTTTCCCTACTGGATTATTTTGAAGCGAATCTCTGACATCAGATCATTATGTCTGTACAGATTTCAGCAGGTATCTCTAAAAAGTAGTGCTCTTTTAAAAGCATAACAGAATTACTATTAATGAACATGAGAAAGTTAACAGTGATTTCATAATATCATAAAATATCCAGCCAGTGTTCACATTTCCCAGGTTGTGAGTTTTTATTTTACCATTTGCATAGAAATCAATTTTAATGTAGTTGAGCTTATTGAAACTTTAATTTTTTCCTGAATCTGAAGGACTGTCTTATTTGGCTCCAACCTGCTTACTCAGACTTCTTACTTACTCAGACTCAGATTCTCAGTACTTCTCTCTAGAATTGCCTGCTTCGATCTCCAGTCAGATCAGTTTCTTTCCTGTCTTCCACCTATGAGCTGTGTTCCCATTGCCAGCTCCCTGCTGTTTTCTTATGATTTTGCTCCTCTTTCCTGCTTAATTAAATCTCACCTGTATCCTCAAAGTTTGGCCTCATCCCTGAAGCTTTCATTGCTGCTTTTTGCCCTGCACTTGGCTCTCCCACCTTTGGAATACTTTTACGACTGTAGTCAGTTTAACAGCAGCTTGTAATTTGTTTCTTGTGTGTTGTCTTTATGAGCCAATATCCTCAAGGATGTGGATGCTTCTCTTTCTGCTCTGCCATTCTCAGCACTGGCTTCTATTCTCAAGTTCACCTCAGGATCTGGAATGGCTCCTGGAGCTCCAGCCATCTTATCCATGTTCTGGATATTAAGGAGGAATTGGGGTGGAGGAAAGAATACATCCCCTTCCTTTTAAGAAGACGTCACAGGAGTCGCACACGCTTGCACTTATCTCAGTGGCCAGAATTGGTCAGGTGTCCATATGTACCTGCAAGGAACCCTTTGTTTGACCCAAAGCTTATTTGGAAGCTGGTTCATGAAGCAGATGAGGAAGGGGCTACCCTGCCTGAGGGGGATCAGGCCTCCTGAGGCTCTCTCCCTGATGGGCCTCTCTGACACGTCCCAACCCCAGGGCTCTGCTGAGCAGTTTGCCAAATTCTGTTCTAGCTGTTTCCTTCAGCTTTTCATTGGCTGCCCCAGAGACTTGTAAAAGGAAAAGATTGATAAATCAAAAAGTATTTTACTTTCACTTTAGGTTTCATTGTAAATTTTATTAGCAAATCTGTCTTCCTGATTGCCTTTTTATTTACCCTGTTCACTGCCAGGCCCCAGAGGTAACCAGTGTGAACAGTCTGGGCACGTGCTTTATCATGTCTCCAGCAGCGGGAATCCCTCCATTGGATGTGTTTTTTAACACATGTCAGTTTTCTGTGTCACCAAATGTTTCCTCGTAGGTAGTTTCACAGTTGACCTTCAGAAGGCCTGATCTTCTTTTCCTCTCTTGCAGGTTTAATAGACTACAACTTCCACTGTTTCCGAAAAGCTATTCATGAGGTTTTTGAGGTAGGGGTGACTTCTCACAGGGGCTGTGGTCACCAGACCAGTGCCCCCAGCCTGAAAGCGTTGACACACAACGGCACGCCGCGAAACGCCATCTAGCCTGCATTCCAGTGGCCGGGGCTCTGCGCCAGCTTAGCCTTCACTCCAGGGTCAGGTGCCACGTGCTACAGGACGTGGGAGTTGTGCTTGTGGGAACCTGGTGCCTGTTCCACTAGTGACAAGGGGTGGAGTTTCCTGTTTGGATGAAAACCCCTTCAGCCATGGTGTGCAACTGAAGCTACTATTTCTTTTCTAAAAAAAAAAAAAGATTGCAAAAAATTATAGAGACCACAGAACTCAAGTGTGTCTTTCTCCTCTTTGGGGTCCTACTTTAAGTAGCTGGGCTGTTTTGGATCTGGAGATAACACCACTTACTCATCCTTTCCAGGGAATGTTGCCATCGACTACCAGTTGAAAATAATAGAAAGGACTGAATTTTTATATGCTTTGCTTAGATTTTCATTTGAGTAGTCTCTAAAAAGCCTGCCTTGCTTAAGTTCTAACACTGCCTCTCAGATTTCAGTTTTGGACCTTGTACACCTAAGACCTTCTAAATGCATCTGCTTGCTAACTCAGAAGACACGTGGCTTGACTGCAGCAGAGGACATTCCTCTATTTGTTTCTGAAGAAATGAGAACATTTTATGCTGCATCAAGTCAAGAGCAAGGCTCCACAGTGGCTGCATTAGTTCCTTGGAAGTGTTGAGGAACAAACTTCAAAACAGAAGAAAAACTTTGCACCTGTATTTTGGGTACCAGATATCTGAGTTCTTTTTCCTACATTAGATAAATGATTCCGATCACTGTAACAAAGGGAATTTAAGAAAGTTTTCCCACAGTCTTCTAGGAGAGAAACTCATTATGTCACTGAAATAATTAGCTCACTTTTCTTTAAACTTGATACCAGCCCCCACATACCTTTTATTCTGAGCTATTGAGATTCTTTACGAATGGCTGTTTTGTTGACCATGAATGACCCTGAGGCACCGATGGCCTGTGCCCTGGGTGTTGAAGAGAGCATGTTGGCGCCACGACGCATGTCGGTAAACATCCTTCCTCTCCGAGAGCTGACACCGGTGGTCACCTGCGGTACTTTCTTCACCTAGGATGTTAATTCGTAATAGTTTTCTTTTTGTTGAAGGTTGATAACTCTTTCCATTGATTGAAAGTTAACATTATTTTTACGCCATATACTCAGTAGACATAGATTCCGAAGCCCCCGGACCACTTGAGTACATAAGTGCCACTGTTAAATGAAATATGTATATTCAGGTCTGCAAACCTAACCGCGCGACTTGGCGTGCTTCCTGCAGAAGAGTCTGACTGTTGAGTATTTACATGGACCATGGAGATATCCAAAAGAAAAATGCTTTTATATTTATAGATTGTTTCATTGAACTATATAAAATGGGTATCAATAAATGTATTTACTCCAGAAGCAGTCTTTTATTTGCCTGACGCAGAAGGTTGGGCTGATGGGGCATTGGAATGTCCCACTCTGCCGTTTCGTCATCCATTTCCTTTTCTTTCGATGCCTTGTATGGTTAGAGTGCCGTATGTTTCAGGAGTTCAGGTTCTGTCCTGTGGTGAGAATTTTGTGCCTTGTGCCCGTCTCCTGGCTTGGTTCTGGTTAGGGTGAGAGGTTTCGGTCCGGGTAAAAATGGGCTCTCTGGTTGTGGTGTTTTAGACTAACAGATCTCCTGGTGAGAGTGTCTGTGGCCTGGCATCATTGACGTCATATATCCAAGCCAGGAAGTGGGTAAGGGGGTGAGTTAAGTAGAACAGAGTGTACAGAATTTGTACCAATTCCAGCTTGTTTTTCATTTCTTCCAGTTTCTGAGACACTCGTTATTGACCCTTAAATGTCGGTTCTGCTTATATAGTTAGGTTGGGTCTAAAATGATGGGAGTAAAGTGTGCATTATTCTATAGAAAGGAGGCAGGTTGACAGAGGTTGAAAGAGCTTTCATTTCATGATTGGACTACTTTAGAAGTTCAGTTTTAAAACTGAAATGGAAATCACAGAAATAAAAAAGATACCATCTAAGGGGGAGGGTATTTAAAAAAAATACTGTCTAACCCTGTATCATTTTTCAAACTATGGGAACTGAAGTCCAGAGGAGTAAAGAGCCTTGTCTGGGGTTATATATGGGATGACTGTTTAACTTAAACTCCAAATGAGGACACTGTTGAGTGTGGAAGGGATGCCATTGATGATTATGCCAGAGAAACAGGTGTGTTCTGCACCGTCCTGGGTAAACCAGGTGGCCAGCCCAGTCACACGTCAAGTTAGCGGGGGACTGTGCTCCACACCTGGCAGCCCAGCGCTGCCTGCTTCATCCCCAGCCTCAGGCTCCCCTTGGATCAACAGAGACAGTGCCTCAGGATGAGTGCACCATGGTACATAAGAGCCCAAGAAAGGCTTTTTTCCTGTTGCTATGGAAAATTGTAAATTCGGGGACTGATGAAGGAGAACAGGTGGAAAATGGTGAAACAAAGTGAATGAGGAGAGGGGACAACTCGGGGCAAAGGACATGGAAAAATCAGAAGACTATTAAGAAGTGTTTGCCTGAAATGTTTTGCGTCTTGATGGATATTTATCTGTACCAGGCTGCCTCAGAGAGCTGGGAGAGAGAGATGGTGACGTGATACCTTTAAATCTTTCCCAGCAAGCTGTTGGAGCTGTTTCACATACCACTACCTCTCCTGTGCACACACATGCAAACATACACACGTTCATAAATACGCATGTGTATGTGCGCACACAGACACACGTATGGAATGACGTCCCAATACAGAATGCTCAAGGGATTTGTGAGTTGTATTAATTTACCGTCTGCATTTAGGGTTCTGTGCGTACAAAGAGAAATAAGATATTTTATAGATAAAATTTTGATTGTCACAAGTGTAATTAATGTGTGTGATTCGGGGGCTTTGTTTAGGTTGTCTGCTTATTCTGTTTTGCAGATGCTGGAAGCTCTTCCAGTTATATCCAAAGGAGATTGTTAATATCGTTATTGTTTTTCATCTAAGCTAGCAAAGTGACTTTAAACACTCCCCTTCCCTTCCCCAGAGGACCTGAAGGAACAGAGCCTTCCAAGGGAATGTAGGCGGCAGTTGGGCATAGCTGGAGTGTATTTCTGTTAATAGCCTCTTCCTTGACCTGCTCCTACAGAGTGGGGGGATTGTGGAAATAAAAAGCATGCAGGAGGGACACAAAGGGACAGAAACCCCCGCCGATTATTTCCGGTGGTTTCTATATGTGATACCCCATGTAATCTTCACAATACCTGGTAAGGTAGGTATATTTGCAGATGGGGAAACAGGCGTGGAGAGACGCAGCTGTGAGTGATGGAGTTAGAATTGGAATCTGTGCAGCTTGAGTCTAGAACCTGCAACCTTAATCCACTGCTTGGCCTTGCTTCCCTATTAGGGAGTGGAAGGTTTGCAGAAAACGAATTGTATAGTCTAATTTTGGAAACGGCATTCTGTGGTCTCTTCTTGGAGGTTTACTACGTACGGTCAAATCTTAAATTCTTTGAGAAGACCTGCCATAGAGAAGGCTGTTTCCCTTGGTTTATATCCCATGTTCCTAAGTTTATTTGACTTTTCTAAGAAATGCCTATTCCAGCTGCATGTATATCATAAACAGACTGACGGACGCTTTACTGAAAAGTTTTCAGTGGGATTGGAAGTATGATTTTTATTCTGTTTTCCAAGTGTTTTAATACAACCTTTGGTGAACTGATGGTAAAATAAGGGTAAAAGCTTGTACATTTTCACAAATTGAGATTAGTAGCTCATGCTGTTCCTTCGGCCTGGAATCGGCTTCTCTTGGCCCGTGGAAATTCTAGTTACCCTACTAAGCTCAGCTTAAATGCCATCTCCTCTCCAAAAGCCCTCTAACCATCCCCCCTCCCCGGCGCCCTGACAAGGGTGGGTCTGTTCTCTGCCCCCTTTCTTGGTGACTTGCTCAGCACCTGTCCTTGTAAGCAGTGATGGGGGAAGCACATTTTGCTGCTCTGTAACATTTCCCCAATATCCTGTATGTTGAGGAAAACCCATGCTCATTTAAATCACCTCTTATTGCGGCTTTGATGTGAAGGCAAGGGTGCCTTTCTGGTCTGGGCAGTAGCTTGGTCTAGCTTTTCACCCTATTCGGCTGCAGTGTCCAAAACCTTCGTGCTTGACCTCTAGGTGGCAGTGTTGTATTATTTAAACTCAAGCTTTCAGGTTCCCCGTTGGCTCTGTTCTGAAAGTTTAAATTGCCTGTATCACCAGAGTGTACACCCAATCTAGAGATCCAAAGGATTCCTGAAGTTATTTCTGCTGAAATCATATTCAGTGCTGATTTGAGACATTGTATTGGAAGTGAAGCACTTTGTGATTTTCACTTTTTCTGTCCATTACCAGCTTTTAAACCAGGGCTTGGATAGGATGAAGGTCACAACATCCTTCATGGATTATGGGTTATAAAGACACCTAAAAAAGACCACGCTAACCTCATGCCTCCAGCAGGCAGAATTGCTTGCTCCCTAAGCCATCTGCTGTAGACGGGTGTGCTCTTAAAGACTCCCGTGGAAGGAAATGCCGCATATTTGAATGATAATATCTGCTTTCATCACTTTCTTTTGCTTCAGATGAGGTTTGTTGTAATTATGTCACACTTGAGAACTAAGACACCACAAAAGAAAAGGCCACAGCACATTATCCTTCCCTGGGCATATCGTCTCTCTACAATCCCCAGCTGGGACTTTGTTCTCCAAAGACAAATTGTAATGTAAGGAGAACTAGATACATCAATGCACTTTCAGAATGGTTTAAAATATAATTGAGAAAATTGCAAAAGGACAGTTATAATGAGGAACTGAGTGGAAGGAAACTAGTTACCGCCCGACCCCCAAGTGCCCATTACCACCAATGTGTTGCCCAAAAAGTGCTGCATGCGACTTCCACTTTAACAGCCTTACGCTTTCGAAAGCCTCTTTTGAGCTAAAGTGATAACATATCAGAAGGCACGTGGCAGACAATTAATTTGGTTTAACACAATAAAGCCTGCAGAACAGACAGAAGCTTGGGCTATAAAAAAAATGGAATATTAATATACAGTCTTCTTATTGCTGTTTTTTGTTTTTGTTTTTGTAAAGAGAGATGCTGGTACCCTCGTTTTGGTAAATTGTAAATATTCCTTCCTTTTCATGTCCTGTCTCCTGTCTCTTCTCAAATAGGCATGCAAACTTCGTGTTCCAGTTAATGAGTCAGCTGAGAAGGGAATGTTAATTTCTTTGAGCCTATCTTATTCCGAAAAGCAATGCCAAAACTCTCTGTACTGGGACTCTGTCCTAGAAAAGGCACTGGCTTTACAGTTTTGCAAGAAGAACTAAGGAGTACGCTTAGAACCCTACTCATCATTTCCCTAAGGCCTGTCTTTGGAAGTTGGAGCTGTTAGCCATTTCCATGCATGGAGGATGCTTTTTTTTTTTTTGCTACACTGTAGCTCTTCCTGGTTAGACATCTAAGATGGAAGGTTCTTTGGGCTGTTTCCTCGCTACATGACCCTGTGGCAGTGTATTGATGGAAATGGGATAATTGAGAAAGGCAGGCTATTTGGCAAAAAGAAATTCATTGAGGTGTCAGGGGTCACAGGATCTTAGTGGAGTTCTCTGGACAACTCAGGTGATAAGGCTGGAAAGAGGCTGAGTTAAGGTTGAGTGGCCACCTTGAGGTGGTGGGGGCAGGACCGAGGGATGGGCCACGGTCAATCGGTGGAAGGAGGCTTGCTGGGGAAGAAGTCAGAATGATCCTTGCAGTGAGAAGAAAACCAGGAAGGTTATGAAGTGTGAAATGCAGCAAGAGACCTGAAAGATGAGAACAAATAGACCTTAAATTTGCCTCGGTGTGTGGGGGACTTCTGACCTGGAGAGCTGGGCCATCTCCTACTTCTATGGGTCCTTCACTTTCCTCTCCCAGGGTATTATTAAATCTTGAAATTATATGTTCCTGATTGCTTTCAGATTCAAAAGAATGGTTAAAACTGCTTGTTTGACACTGGTGTTCTTTTCATTTTATCCTAAGCCAGATCCTTGTCACATTTTATCTCCTTGGCTTGTGCCTTAGCTTCTTTTCCTCATTTTCAAAATCTGGACTAGCCTATAATAATAGCAGGACTACTTTTGTCATAATTATTATTAGCACTAGCATTGGTATTAGAGTATTTGAGTGCTTACAACTCACCTGCCATTGTGCTAAAAGCTTTACTTGCACCTTCTTGTATAATCTGCCAGTGTTGTGAGGTTGGAACTATTGTTGTGGTCCATTTTACAGATGAGAAAACTGAGGCACAGAGGGAAACTTCTAAGAACATATTGCCAGGTATTTGCAGAGCTTGGACTTGAGTCCCATCTGTCTGATGCCAGAGCAAAGGCCTGCCTTCTTGGTA